CACCCACTGCAGAGCACATCCAGAAACCTCACGTCACTTGACTCTCTCACAATGGTAAGCAGAGATTAATGTTGTTATTACATTTTTCAACAAAGAAACTGAGGTATGTAAAAAAGAGGTGACTCCCTGAGGTGAGAGAGGTCACCCTGGCAGCCCGGCGCTCTGCGCTTGAACCCTGTGGGCTCTGTCCCCCCCACCCCCCAGCACACCCACGCAGGGGTCCAGAGGGACGGGGTGTCAGACAGGGACAGAGAAGCTAAATGGTCACCCCTGGGCCGTCACCTTCCAGGATTAGGGAAGTTTACCTGAAGGGTCTTAATTTCACTTGAAAATTGCCTATAAATCTACCCTCCAACAAGATAATTCTTTCTCTTATAATATTTGGCTTTAGTCCTTGCAAACTTTGAGAGTAGTAACTTCGGCTTACCATTCCCGTGTAAAGAAGTGCTATTTTTACTTTGCCCTAAAACTATTTCTTTATAATGATAAAGTTGTCCCTCGTTCTTGTGCTCTGGGATTTAATAAGTTCATATTTTTATCCTATGATTTTCATTATTTTATAAATTTCAATCATATCCTCCTCTTAGCCTGTGTCTTTCTGGAATGAAGAGCCCTAATTCTTTTATCATCCCTCACAAAGAATTCTCTCTGCCCTCTGTATCAATTTAGATGTCCTTCCCCAGACCTTGGCTGGCTCAGAATGTCTTTGAGGCACATCAGCTTATGGGCCCCCCATCACTTTGTCCGTTATTCTGTACAAAAGAGCACAATGACTTCGGCTAAAATAAAACGTGGAACTATTAGAGACAACTTTAAAAAATCCAACTGTATTTTTGTTCCATGTCAGCCCAGCCTAGGCTGAAAAAATACACATTTTGCTTCAACCCTGAAATGAATTTGAGCACATTGGTAGTAAGCAACCTTGTCGTCTATCATGAAAATGGCCATTTGCAAAGCACTTTCCCATACATGATCTCATTTGACCCTCACATGAACCATGCAAGGTAGAAAACACACACTATTCTCCTCATTGTTCACATGAGGAACATAGAAAGATGAGCCTAGCCCAAGGTCAAACCGTGGGAGGTAGAGCCCCAGGGGCTGGTCCTGCATCGAGGGGATGATGCCCTACTCACTGCGCAATACAACTCCCTTACGGCCACTTGTGATTTATTTTAAATCGCAAACGACCACCTCCAGGTCCTTCAGTGGTCCGCAGCAGTCTCAGAAAAGTCTATGGTTCTACGGTCGGAAAAGGGGGTTAAGGTTGGCCCAGGCCCTCTTCCCGCCTCTCTACATGCTCCCCAGGGGCAATCTCAGCCACATCCTGGGTAGCAACATCATCTCCCTGCAAATGATGCCCAAATTGGTGTCTCTAGGCCATACCTCTCTTCTGGGCACCAGACAAGGATATAAAACTGCAAATTTGACCTCTCCTGGATGTCTCAATATGCACAAAACGTCACCTTCTGCCCCCACCATATCCCCCTCCCCTGCAGAAGCCCAATTCTCTTTTGACGTACCTCCTCCCCCACACCTATCCGGGAACTTAGGTGTCAGCTGGGCCTGTCCCTCTCCTAGCCCCACCCACGCCCAACCTAACACCCAGCCCTTTCCCGTTTCCCTCCAGCATAGCTGACTGCCCTGTCCCCTTCTCTCCTTCTCCATCTGCACCCCCTCAGTCCAAGACACCCTCATCTCTCATTTGGACTTTCAGGGACTCTTCCTTGGTCTACTCCTCCCCAGTCCTTTCTCCACACCACATGTAGCTGGAGGAGTTCTTCCAAAAATCATTCTGGTCCTGGAGCCCTGAACCCACTCTGCTTAGAACACTTCAGTGGCATCGCATTGCTCTTAGGGTAAAGGCAAAACACCCCTACATGGCTCACAGGTCCCTCTCTAGTGTGGTCCCCCCTCCAGCCTCATCGCACAACCTCGCCTCCATTTCTCAGGCTTCAGCCCCACAGCCTCCCTCGAACATCTTTCACTCACCATGCTCGGCTTCGCCCTGCTGGCCTAGAACATTCCTCCCTATTTAAATTCCCAGAATTAGATTCCCAGAAGTCTCTGTCTTCAGATTGAGATTCAAGGATCTTTCCTCAGGGAAGCCTTTCTCCACCTCCCTGAGTTAAATTCCCTATCATACTTCCTTCACACGGCGCTGGCTTGGCGTGAATTTAATTAACATCTGTCTCCCCGCTCGACTTGGAAACTTTTGCTCACCGTTGTATTCCCTGTGCTGTGCGTAGCACATAAATGCACACCAGTAAATGTTTGTTAAATAAAGAAGTAAACCTGCCAATAAGGAAATAGTTGTGTACGGTAAACATCCTCCTTATGGAATATTAAGCAGCTGTGACAAAGAATGAGATAAGAATATGTTTACTGAACTGGAATGACATCCATGACGTATTATTGATTTACCACTGCATTACAGAGCATTATGCGTACTATGACCAGTTATGTTTAAAACCTATGTATGTCTTTAGTTTAAAAAACACACATCCAACCTCCGTGGGGACGCGCATGTGTTTGCACGTGCTTTGCAAGGTCTGCGAGACTGATGGCAACAGCTTTCGACAGTGCATTCCCGGAGAGTGGGAATGAGACAGGATAGAGAAAAACAGGGTGACTTCTACTCATAAACTTCTCTGGTTTGACGTTTTTCAATGACCATGTGGTATAGCTGCCATCGTTTTAACAATACCACTTTTCAAATAATGATGCAATTCACTAAAGTTCAGGAACTGTTTCTAAATACAGCAAAGGGTGGGGGGGACTACTTTGTATATGATTACTCGACAATGGGATAAAGTTCCAAAAAAACAGCATTTCCAGCTCAGCTCTTCAATCTAGCAATAAGCTCAGATGGAGAAGCAAAACAGAACAATTAGACACAACAGTGTTTGTTGAGGTCTTTCCCCTCCTCCCCCGCATGACTTGTACAAATTTTTTTGAAAAATCAGTTGCTCTTGGATTTACTTATATAGTATTAGAAGGAAAAATAACAGAAAGAATAGCATGAGTTTTTCTTAGTTTAGATTTTTTGTTAAATAAAATTATGTGAAGACACCTTTATTTTCCTTTACTTGCCAAAAAACAAACCTTTTGTTGTCCTTGCCAGAGCTCACATAGCAAAGATGGTTTCCTAAAGCCACACAGATGACAGGAAGGAGAAGGGACAGGTAGGCCGGTGATGTGCAGGCAGGATTACCCCCAGCTAACAGCACAGACCTCACTTGGGTGGCTGAGAGAGGGGGGTGCAGGTGGACAGACCCCGTCCCCGGAAGGGGAGGCAGGTGTGAGGGAGTGACCCCCGCCCCCAGCCCCTGCAGCCAGCCTCCAGGGTGAGCTGGGAAAGTCTGTGAATAAATGCCCTCACTTGGAGCTACATTGATTCTTTCTTCACACTAATGGCTCAGATGGGGAACAACCAAAAGATGACTAAAATATGAGTCAAATGTTTTCAAATCCAATTATTCCAGTGAAGCAGGAATGCAGGCACGCAGAGAGCAGGCTGTTAGGGGTTCTAAGCAGTACTTGCGAAACCTGAAGAAACTCACTCTCCTTAATGACTGCCCCTTTCAATCTAAGTCATTTTGATGGTCTGGGGACAATCCACCTTTATTCCTAGTGACACCCTCTGATCAGCTATGAACTGCAGGACAGAAAGCTCCCCTCTGGGCTTGTGCACTTTGCCCATCCTGATTGGACCTCCTTCTCCCCTGCGGTCTCTCTGGCATGTCTTCAATTATCCCCCAGGGTGTCAGGAAATTCTAAAACTAGCCTCCAAGGTGGTGTCTTGGTAATTTTGAAAACCAACTTTCCGTTGAATACGAAAAGCTCACATTAAGGAGAGGTAAGGCTGGGGAAAGGCAGGGGAGGAGAGGCATGTCATCAGATGGACCCGCAGGGCACACAGCCCCCAGAAGGCTAAACTGTAGCAACTGCAGTGGAAGAAACCCCGGCGTGTGCTCTGACCCCCAGGAGGCACCGCCCGGGCCCTCTGGACAGACATGCAGGCGGTTTCCCTGACATCTGCCCCTGCCCCCTTTCTTCTGCTAATTGCTCCGTTTTACATTCTTTCCCCCAAATGTGAGCTCCCTATTTTGCTATTCAGTTCCTCCAAAAGCTTTTTTGGTGAGGAGACGCTGAGATGGGTGTTTTCAAATGGCCTGAGGTCCTTTTCAGAAAAGAAAGCCTCTTACCACAATTGTTGGAACAGGACACGTGCCAAGGATAATCAGACGTTACCCCACCCCTGTGCTATCAGGGCTCTGTCTTTGTTCCCACCCCAGACTCCTCCGCCGGCCTCAGCGGTCATGAAGGAGAAGAGGCGACACCAGTGTCCAGCCCCAGCAAAGGTGAGGCCCTCCCTGCCACGGACCAGTGCTCGGGCAGAGCCCAGAGCCTGCCTCTGCCACGCCGGGCACTCGACCCCACGCCGTGCTCTCTGAATGGATTCACCTACCTGTGAGCGTGATAAATTCTTTTTTTGAACATTTTATGTTGTGGTAAAATAAACATAACATAAAACTTACCATTTTGACCATTTTGAAGTACAGAGCGCAGAGGCAGTCAGTCCACTCGCGTGGCTGTGCCATCATCAGCATGGTCCATCCTCACAGGGTCTACGCTTATCTTCCCGAACGAAAACGCTGTCCCCATGAGGCAGGGACTCCCCGTGCCCCCTCCCCTCCCCGGCCCCTGGCAACCACCACTCCACTTTCTGTCTCTATGAATCGACCACGCTAGGCACCTCATATAAGTAGAATCATATATTTGCCCTTTGGTGACTGGCTTATCTCACTTAACATAACGTCCTCAAGGTTCACCCATGTTGTGACATGTGCCAGGATTTCCCCCCTTTTTAAGGCCGAATAACATTCCATTCTATGGCTATAACCACGTTTTGTTTACCCATTCATCTGTTGATGGATGTTTGGGTTGTTCATATCCTTAACTTAATCCTACAATTTAAGACGTGCAGACAATCCTGATACAATTTGATTTATTGAGCATTTACCGAGGGTAACTTCACTGTGCTAGGAATTGTGGGAGGTACAAAAGTGAATCCAACACGGTACCTGCTCTGAAAGAACTTATGCTATATTAGGAAAGCAGAAGATAAAGAAGTGGTCCTGACTGGAATGGTTCAGTTGGTGAGGCGTCACCCCACAAAGCAAAAGGTCACCGGTTCGATTCCCAGTCAGGACACATGCCTGGGTTGTGGGTTCAGTCCCGGGTCAGGACATGGACCAGAGGTGTCTGAGTGATGTTTTTCTCTTGCATCAATGTTTCTCTCCCCCTCTTTCTCCCTCCCTTGCCCTCTCTCTAAAAATAAATATTTTTTAAGAAAGAAAGTGAAAGTAACTAGCATTTGCTAATCTCTGTATTTGCTAATCGCCTCGCCCAATCACCACATGTGTTGCTCACAACCACCTTGTGAGGTGGACGATATAATATCTACATTAGAGTGAAAAAAGTGAAGACTCAGCGACCTTAAGTAACCAGCTCCAAAGTGGTGAGACAGATTCAGACCCACATCCGCACTAGACACGCTGCTTCTTTTGGTGTAACAAACCCAGGGTGGGGAGGGGGGAAGCTACAGGAAGGTCGGGGGGAAGAGAAGAGACGAGCACCCTCCTGAGGGAAGAGGCTCATTGCAGACACAGGTCTTGTGGGTCAGGAAAGCTTATGTTCGACAGAGATGAGGGAGTAAAGGAAACCGCTTGAGCAGAGCAGAGGGGGACGCAGGACATCTTGGTGCTACTGAGGGACCAGCACAGTTGTCGAACATACGGCTAGAAAGCAGAGGGGGCAAAACCTGGGCCACGATGAAGTGCTGCTGGCTCCACAAGTCTGAACCCACCTTGTCAACAATGGCGCACCATTGCGGGTCTTCTAAGACGAGACGTAGTCGTAGCTGTGCTTTGAGAGGGCCGTCATGGCAATAATGTATAACCAAGGTGGAGGGGCTGTAGTTCAAAGTTAGAAAAGCCAAAGAGATCACTGGCATTAGCAGATGAGACACAATTAGCCAAGTGGAAAAGAGGATAAAGACGTGAGCCATGTCTTGGAGGCGGGGATGATGACAGCCGGCCACCGCTGCATTGTAAACAGCGTGACCCTACCTCCTGGTTGCCTGAGACACCTGTTTCCTGGCATAATTACCAACAGCATCCTCTCCTCTCCAAAGGGTCCAAGTCTGGACAGTCAAGTGAGTGATCATACGAAGGATGAGGAATAGGAAAAAAGATTCAAAGGTGACTCTAAAACACTTTGAGCCTGAACTGATAAAGAAGGTGGTGCCACCTTTAGAAACACAGAAAGGAGAGCAGGTTTTTAGGAAGGTGATGAGTTTGGATCCGGACATGCTGCGTTTGCTGCTGAGGCGAGGCTTTACTTGAGGGAGAGGAGCACCTTGCCCGTGGATTTGCGCTGCACCACGTGACGGAAAGCATCATTGACCTAAAAAAAAACAACCCAAAATGTGTTGGAAGATTTGCATACATGCATATTCCAGGAAACATTTGTTACTGGTTCAGTTCTTAAAATAGCTCAAGTATTAAGATGTGTCTTCGACGAACTGTTTATAGTTAAATATACAATACTAACAAAATGACTCGCCACAAACTCAAAGGACAATAACATTTAAGAATAACCCAACCTCAGAATTTATCTGTCTAAACTATCATTTTCAATGGTGTCAGGTAAATGACCACAGGCAAGAAGTTCCCGGGCCTGTCCATATTCCATTGTAATATCTGTGTGTTCTGGCTTTTCAAAGAATGGAGCCACTAGCAGAAGGGCCAGTCACTGAAAATTTTACAGTGATTATCTTTTTATTAAAATTGTCCTAGTTCCAGTGTAACTGAAATTGCAACCTGTCTCAAATTTGTTTTTCGAAGTACAAGTTATAAAACATAATTAAAAAGCAGCCCCGGTCATCAAGGCAGTGTGACACTGATAAAGGAACAGACAGATAGATCAATGGAACCGATTAGTGAGCCGAGCCCCAAAACAGGCCCACACAGGCGCAGTCCGCAGATCTCCTGACAAAGGAGCCAAAGCGCTTCAATGAAGAAAGGATAGTCTTTTCAAGAAATAGCGTGGGAACCACGGCACATCCACATGCAAAAAAAAATGAATCAAGACGTGGTCCTTACATCCTTCGCAAATATTAACTCAGATAAAGTGTAAACGTCAAAACAGGCTGTGGTGGCAGGGGACCAAGCCAACCTTGGTGTTCACCCCAGGGAAGGCACCTGTAAACTAGTGAATATGCACCATGGACGGCTACGCAGCGGTGGAAACCAGGAACTGGATGCAGGACCAGAGACGCAGGGGGATTCTTAAAAGATAATGCTGTGTGGGAAATTCAGAAACAGAGGAAGATCGACAGCACAACCCTCTGCTGTTACTCGTTTATGTAACTTGGGAGGAAAAAGTGTGGGGAGTGAGGATACAGGGAGTAAGTACATACAGACATCCACAGATATGCAGACATAAAAGCAAAAGATGGGCCTTGCAAAGATGAAAATGTGCTTTGAAATGAGAAATGCGATTAAACAATCCTTTCCACTTGAAATCCTCCCCAAAAGCCTAAGAAACATAAATAAATAAAAAGCAGAGAAACAGATCAATTGTGGCAAGCTGTCTGCAGCTGGTGTCAAAAACATGTGTCTTTCAGGGCTTTGTGGCTTTCAGAGCCCTTTCCAATCTACACAATTTAGATGTCTTCCAAGGAGGTGGAAGAGGTCTCAGACAGATGTTTGAAACACCCATGCCCGCCCTGTCAATCACTCAAAGACACATTTCCAGGTGACTCACAGCTGCATCACTCTCCCTGTCATCTGGAAGTCACTTGTTCCCAAAGATCTGTCATAGCCCCACAACCAAAATACTTGGGGAAACAAGCATAATTTGAGATATTGATACTTTTTTTAATCTGGCATCCTAGAGAAATGAGGAATCTCCTATAAATAAATGTTAACATAAAAAGAAAATTGTTACTTCAGATGTTAATGCATATTTTTAACCATTCCGCACAGAAATCTTTATAAAAATGCAGCACATAATTATCTGACATCCTTAAACAATAATATTGCGGAAAAGCATAACCTTTTTGTTCCGTGACTTGGGAATCTCATCATTTTGAATACCCATGATTTTACCTCCTGTTTTTGACATTCTGTCACTTCTCTCTAGGTCTACCTGCCACTTCTAAAAATAACTCAGCTCTGTCCCTTTCCATCCTGTGGTTTCTATCTGGGCTGGGAAAACAGACCGCCAGTGGCGGTAAGGACTGGATGCTTAGTAAGAGTGGCAGAGCTCCGGCTGAGAGACTAAGAAGCAAGGTACAGGGCTTTGGACCCGTCTTCTGACAGCTGGTTCAGAGAGATGCTTTGGGGACGTTGCCCTCCTGTCTTGTACAATTGTACAGGCTGCATCTCAGAGAGGGAGGCCCCCCACACGGATGCCCAGTCAGACACACGGGCTGTGCCCCGAGCCCTGGTTGTCTGTCTTGCAGTGGATGAAGCCTTAATTACACTTGTCTCTTGAGATATGCACCCGGGACTTGGGGGCAGGGTAAGGATATTGCTTTTGTTTTCGGTTCTGCTGTTGGAATTTTTAATGAGCTCATCCAACAGGAGTAATCAGAGTAATCTATAGTTCCCTCAATAAACTGTGCCGATTCACGCTTCCCACTAGAAACCAGCTCTCCCCCCCTCATAGCGCTGTCCTGAGATCTTTCCAACTAAGAGATGACTTCCTGAAGTCTTGCTTTTTAATGATTGGCATACTGGATGTACCCACTGAACGTCTGATGAATAAAATAAACTCGTGAATGAATGAATATATCTGGGACTGAGTGGAGTTGTGTTTAAAGGTAAAAACATTTAATTACTGATGCACTGCTACAGTCGAATTATATTCATCGTATCGCTCTGATGCAAGTTGATCTGAATCTGCTTTGAAAAGTCAATCAACGCAGCTCACCAAAAAAAGATACAGATGGCAAACGTGAATATGAAAAGATACTCAAAATCATTATTCATTAGAGAAATGCAAATTAAACTCATGATCTGATACTACTCCATACCTATTAGAATGGCTATAATTAAAGAAAGCAACTGACAACAATAAATTCTGGCAGATGCGCAGTAATGAAAACGCTCATACATTGTTGGTGGGAATGCAAAATAAGACAGTTACTTTGATCAACACTTTGATAGTTATTATACGTTAAGCATAGAGTGGCAAATCAGTACAAACAAAATCCTGGAGTGTTCAAACAGACAGTGATGCTGGAGCACCCGTTTTTAATTGAGAACACACGGACACGCAGGGCAGAAAACCTACGCGCCATGGGACTTCGGCAGGCACGCAACAGGAATGGCCTGGTCTTCAAAATCTGGGGCTGCGGAGGTGGCGGCAGAATCGCTTCTCAGTAGCTGAGGCCTAGAGAGCGAGCGGCTGACGCAGTCAAGCTTGCCCCTTCTAACATTCCACTGGTTATGTGTGGGATTCCACACAGGCCTCTGTACACTGTAACTCCTGTCTGATGATGTCACCTAGCCATCACTGGAAACTGGTGGAGGCGGCCGGGGGTGGGGGGGAACCCTGCTCTGCAAGTAAAGTCAAATAAATGTGTATATTTAAGAAGAAAAAGTTAAACATACACTTAGCATATGACCCAGAGATCCCAGTCCTAAAATCTGAAACAAAACAAAACATGTCTCTACAAGACTCAAACATGAATGTTTATAGGAGATTGACTTAAGAACTACCAAAAACTGAAAATAATCAAATATCCTATTAACTGATAAGGAAACAAGTTGCGGTACATCCATAAAATGAAATACTATTAGGCAATAAAAAGAATAAACTACTGACATATGCAACAATATGGATGAACCTCAGAACCACTATGCAAAGCTGAAGAGGACAGACTCAAAAGGCTACCAACTGTGTGATTCCATTTATATGGCAATCTGCAAAAGGCGAAATTATGGGGCAAGAAAGCAGGTCCGTGGTTGCCCGGGACGGTGTGATCGGGGAAGGGGGTGACCAGGAAGGGGCACAAGGACACTTGGAGTGATGGAAAATTCTGTATTGTGGTTGTAGTGGGGTGGTTCCAGGACTATCACTCAGCGAATTTCACTCTATGGAAATTATACCTCCCCAAACCAGACTGTTAGAAAGCCATGTATTATTAAACACAAAAATAAACAAATTTTCAAAGTTCAACGTCCACCCAGCTTCCTTAGGAAATAGAGCCTAATCGGAACGTATGCCCTAATGCTTCCTGGCCATCCAGGGAGACCTGGGGGGGGGGGGGCGTTGAAGTGGGTTGAGCAGAAAGGAGAGGAACTACGCGGTGTGCGTGACTGATCCTGAACCGGTCATAGCTTCAGGGGACACGCACTGGTTGCTGTTCACAGGGGACCTCTCCAGAGAGGCCAGAGGGACCCACGGCACGTCCCAGCACTTCGTCAGGAGGAGGGAAAGCAGCCGTACTACCTCCCGTCTCCCATCTGTCAAAGCGTGCCCCGTGAACGCCCCCACACTTCTGGGCTGCCTTGCAGTTTGCTGAGAAGCCAGCGCTTCAGCAGGCTTTTCAGCTCAGGCCTCTGCACCAGAGCCTCAGCGGCTCCCACCCTGAGAGGCACAGGGAAGCTGTGCCTGAGATCAGTCCTCCCCTGGGGACAGCATGTGACGGTCAAGGGCGTTGGGGACTGGGGAGCACGGCCGCAGGGATCACTGGTGTGAGCCATCACTGCAAACATGTGACAAGAAGATGAGCTCGGGGCAGGTGGGACTGGCAGATACCGGGAGGCTCCCAAACTGAGTCTGGAATGATGGGCTCAAATTAATAAACCGTCTAAACTAAAAGGGTAATTTAATTCTCAAGACTATTCCACAGACACACTCAGGAAACTTCAATTGAACAATTTCTGTCCATTAAATCTGTTCAGGTAGTGATCTCGGCCGACCTTTATATGATAAACGAGTTCAGATCTGCGAGGTTTAAGTACCGCGTCAGGCTGAGATGCAGGTGGGAGGCCCCCTGCACAAAGCAGACGTGGCATGTCTGACAAATCCCATCCTCTGAACAGATCGCTGGGCTAATTCATGATCATGGCACAGATGTAACCCTTCAGAAAACAATAAACTCTGATTAACATTCAAAATCTAAAGATGGTCTCTCAAAGCCAGCCCTTTGAAATGTCAGTGCAAAATTGTTACAGTTCAGGGGAACCGAAAAACTCAACTCCACATAATGGCTATAGATTTCACTTTAAAACGTATAGTAAGTGTTTATCTATATGCTTTTAGATGTATTATCTTATTAAATTCCTCACACCGCCCCCGCCCCCAGTAGGTGGAGTATATTCCTGTTCCCATTACAGACAAGGAAATAAGGCACAAAGATGTCCATACTCTCAACCCGTTACTCACCAGGATACGAGTCCCTCCCAGAACCTGGGGACTCTGAGGTGCACACAGCACAGGCCCTGCCTGCAGGGAGCTGATGCTCCATGGGAATAGCAGGCATCAAACAAGTAACTCCAAGCAGGTGAGGGAGAAGCACAGAGCACTATGGGAGTTCACACCCCGTGCCTACTAAAAGGCCAAGGTATGCGGTCATATTCATATCAACTGTCAAGGTCAAATCTGTGAGTCCATGTGTTCAGAGGAAAATAAAAGCTAGGGGGCACCAGTATGTCTGGTACAATATAGATGGGGGGTGGGGCGGGGAGAGAAAGAACGAGAGACAGAGACAATCAATGGATGGTGTGTGAATGAGGAACTTGAAACTGTTAGGGAACAGGGCCTCAGAGCGCCAGATGGTCATAGGAAGGTCCGTAGAGTGGGAAGAACTAGAAAAGTCCTACATGCAGAGCACTCACAGGAAAGCTGAGCTGAGGTTCGCAATTAGACAATTAATTCACACGTAAGAGGACAGAGGACTTCCGTGTGGGGAATCAGGCGGGGGTGGCAGCTAGCGCACGCCCATGGAGAGACCAGGCAGCTCCCACCAACGGGGGCCTCCATGCTGCGCTGGCCCGGGCTGTTCCTCCTCTACCGGCAGGGGCACCTGAGCCTCGGGGAGAGCAAACCTCGGTTTCCAAGGCCTGTGATAGAAGCCACCAGCTGGAAGGGGACCCAGCCGTTCTCTAAACTGGTGCATTTCAAGTCTTCACCTACAAAATCTTTTCTTCAAAGAAAAGTATAAACCAAAAAGTAAAAACGTGCAGCCACCTCAGCCCCAGCAGAGAGGGTGTCCCAGGGCCCAGGCAGCTCAGGCCTACACCCGCCCACCCCCAAATCCTGAAGCGTGGCTCCCAAAGCGTAGCCTGAAAGCCACTGATACTGTCCTGGGCCTCCATTTTCCAGACGTGTGGACTGACGCGCAGAACGGCGAGGAAACCTCTACAAAGGTGCCCAGAGAGGGGCCAAAGCTGGAAATGGATTCCAACCAGTTTCCTGATGGCTAGTCAGGTTCTCTTTCTCCCCCTGAACGACACCTTCTTGACTGACACCCAAAATGATGAGAAAGTAAACCGTGTTTATGAAGAATGTGCGTGACGACAGGGAAAAGCAGACGACTGGAAGACAGGTGAGCAGGAAGTCTGGCCTGACAGCGTGGGCTCCGCTGAGCTAATCTGCATGTGAACAAAACATCGCCTCCATCCAGGGCTGACTGGAGTTACCCAAACAGTTTTTTGAACGTTCAAATAAATTAAGCCCCCACAAAAAGAGAAAAAAAGACTTCACAGTGAATGCCTAACAGATTCACGTTTACAACAATTTTGCATATGCATGCACAGAATTACACTTTGGAGGAAGTTTAAGCCACATTAATGGGACTGTAGGGGAATGTTAAAAGGGGGTGAATAGCCAACAAAATTAACTACAGTGACTAATGGATGAATTATAGGCTTCTGATGCCAGGCATGATTTAGTGTTTTGTTCACAGAGCTCCAGCTTAGATCATCTGGTTGTACTTTAGTGTCTGTATTCTAAAAGCAAAGGTCGAGTTAAGGCTTTCCTTCTTAGACTCGTGTGCTGTGGAGTTCAGAGTTCACATCGACATGGGTAAATTATTTCCTAAAGTATCCTCACTTCCCTCTATTTGAGACACCATCAACCTCCACCGCCCACTGTGTGGCCTTCACAGATCCTGCCGCCCAGGTGGCTCCCGAGGCTCAGACAGTCTGACCCAGAGAACTGGGAGACATCCTGTGCCCCTCAGCCTGTGACACCATTCTGTGTGGCATTTTCAGCTTTTCAGTCCATAAAAGGAGGCTTTACAGTATCTAAACAGAAGCTGTTTGGTAGCTTGACCCAGATCGCTCCCTGGCTTCATCCACCTCATATTCCATAAGAGCATCTCACCTCCTCCAGCTTAAAAACGGCTCCCAAGTGTGGCTGGATGCGTCCTTCCTGGCAGTACTGGAGAGCCGAGGACAGGCTCTGGGAGAAGACCGGAAAGTTGCGGTCTTGGTATCGGCCCCAGTACACACCCATGGCAGAGATGTTCTTCAGGAGCAGAAGGTTGGCCGGCACGGAAGCAATGGTTCCTCCAGCAAAACCCACCACCACGATCCTGCCTTCCCAGGCGAGGCTGAGGGGATGAACAGAAGGGAAAGCCGTCTAAAAAGCAATGTACGCTCACATCCATTAGGATAGCAACTATTTAAAAGGAACAGAAGAGAATATAAAAGACACGTTGGCAAGGATGTCGAGAAACAGGAACCCTCAGGCACTGTGGGCAGAATTGTAAAATGGTGCTCCCGCCATGGAAAACAGTATAAAGGTTCCTCAGAAAAACTGAAAGTAGAACCACCATGGGATCCAGCAATCCCACTTCCTGGTCTACATCCCAAAGAATGGAAAGCAGGGTCTTGAAGAGATATTTGCAAGCCCATGTTTACATCAGCACTTTCGATGATAACCTAGAGGTGTGAGCAACCCAGGTGTCCTACGCTGATGAAGGCATTAACATGCCTTTATATGTGGCATCTAACGTACTCAAACCAATAGAAACAGAAAGGAGAGTGGGGCTGCAGGGGGCGGGGGCGAGAAACGGGGAGGAGTTGTTTAATGAGGGCAGAGTTTTAGATTTGCAAGGTGGGAAAGTCCTGGAGATGTTTCACAACAATGTGCAACATTGTGCATATACTTAATGCTACTGAACGGCACACTTAAAGTGGTCAGTATAGCACATTTACATTATTAACCTTTTATCACGGTAAAAAATGAAGAATGAATAAAAAAGCAAGGTACATTAATTCATAAAGACGAAAGGTAAAACAGACATTGCCGGGGGTAGGGCATGTGGAAAGGGACACTTATTGTTTAATGGGCTCAGCGATTTTGTTGGAGGCTACACAGCATTGTGAGTATACTTCATGCCCCTGAATTGTACCCTTACGAATGGTAAAAATGATAAAAAGTAGGTTATGTATATCTCACCACAATTTTTTAAAAAAGAAATACGCATTAAACCTCCAGGTCGGAATTCCTCTTGACTTTGCAAACCAGCAGGGGTGACCCATCTTGTACCACTTTGGATTCTTCAATAGGAAAATATAAACATAAGGCTTAAGCAAGACAGTAGGGAGCCAGAGGAAGTAGCCAGTTTTACAAGTGAACCCACTTTAGAGTCAAGACTGTCTATTTAACTGTTCTACTCTTTGGTGGAAGAAAACTTGGTATAAGCAAGTGTCATCCCATACGCGGTACTCAGAGACAACTCAGTGTGAAGCTCCTGAACTTAGGAACTGAGGAAGCGGGAATAAGACAGGCACTTGAATGAAGCATCATTTGCTTTTCACAGACACTTACCTTAGGATGCCTTTAAGCTATGTGCTTCTCTAGAGAGTTCTGAACAATCAACAAAAATTCATGCACGTTTCCTGCAGCCCATTATGAGAAGAACCCTACAGCACATGCTAAGCGAGGAGCTATAAAAATAAAATTTGTAAACATCTTTGATATGAAATATGTGTATGCTGGTTCAAGGTTTTTGCTTTTCTTCTTTAGAAAGGAAACCAGAAGCTGTTGTCAAAATACTACTACCCAGAAGGCAAGCGAAGGGTGAGGACTAGCCACCCTCCGTCCTGGCTCTCCTTTTGGTCAAGCGCACTCCCTCCTTTGCTTCTTCTCTGAGCGCCGCCCAGGGCACCCTGGCTGATGCTCAGGGGCTACAGCGCCAGCTGGGTGCCCCCTGTGGGCAAGCTGCTCTCTTTGCTTCCACTTCTTTTGCTTTAAACTGAGATGACCCATAAAATGGCACTTGTCAGGATGACATGAGACATGAAACCCATATTAAAAGCAACCCAGTGTCCCTAGGTGAAAACAGAACTAGCATGAGGGTAGAGACAACAGTCCCACTCAACCTCCAGTGACCTCTTTCTTATTATTTTTAATTTTTTTAAAAATTTGTTTTAGAGAGAGGGGAAAAGAGGGAGAAAGAGAGAAAGAGAAACATTCATCAGTTGCCTCTCACATGCCCTCAACTGGGGACCAGGTACGTGCCCCGACAGGGAATCAAACCGGCAATCTTTTGGTCCTCAGGCCAGTGCTCAATCCGCTGAGCCACACTAGCCAGGGCAGATCTCTTTTCTTAAATAAAACAATTCAAAGACATACCTACCCTGCTGGCTACTTCACAAATCAGGAAGATCAAAAGAGAGTGCACATTTAACATCCGAACAATGATCTCCTCAAGAATTACCCACACCAAGTACATAAAATAGTTAGTGGGGGCTGGCACAGCTGAGCCGAACACATGTATAATTTCTAAAGCAGTTGATGTTGCCAACTAGAGAGTCTACAGTCATTTCTTGGATATTTTCCCGTTGGATATTTTGTTGTTGCTATATTTAAGCATTTCCTGATTTCCCCTCTGCTTCTAGTTCTTTCCACGCCCCCACTCAGCTGTTCTCATCGGTGCCAATGCGTGCAGGAGAAGTGAGCAACAAAGATGAGAGAAGCAAGGCCAGGAGGAAGGCACAGGTCTGAGGAGGTTCCAGCAGAGGCCCGGGTCCACCCACTCTGCTGCGAAGACCCCGTCACGCACCTGTGGAGAGCCTCCAGGAAGACGTCTCCGCCCACGGTGTCGATGGCCACGTCCACGCCGCCGCTGCCCACCAGTTTCCTCACTGCCTCCCTCAGGCTGCCCTGACTGTAGTTCACGCTGGACTGCGCACCCCTCTGCACGGCCAGCTTGCACTTCTCGTCACTTCCGGCAGCAGCTATCACCTGCAGAGAGAACACAGAGCTTCTGAGGTTCTAGAATATGTACTGGGGTGGCGGGTGGGGCGGGGGGGCTCATGCCACCCACCTGACCTGTACCTGAAGGGTGCAAATCAAGGAACCCAATGTGACCTCGCTGACCTAGCATCAGCCTCAACCCAGCAGGTCAGGTCCAGCCCACAGCGCTGCTGTACTGGTCCCTCCACGCCCCACGGGCCGCAGGATCCACGTTTCCAAGGATCTCGGAACCCCAGTGGGTCAGCTAGGAGGTGGTTCAGGAGACACTTGGTAGGTCTTCTCCACATGCAAATTAAAGCCATTTACTGAGACTCCACAATGAGTGAAGTACTAAGGACACAAGCTAAATCCATAGCTTTGCGTCCAGAAAGCAAGATAGAGCGGTGGGATGGAGAACTACAGAGGGTTCCAGAAGTGCAAACAAGAACATCCAACCTAAATCTAGATGATCAGGAAAAGCTGCCCAGGGGGTTAAAACATGATCCAATGGAAAGATCTTAAGGTCACACAGATCTAAGTTCCAATCCTGGGCCCTGCTACTAACCAGCTAAGTTACCTAAGCCAAATTACTTAGCAAGAACTAACACTTACATAGTAATTACCACGGGCCAGGCAGTAGTCTAGATGCTTTCTACTGAATATACATTGATAGCTCAATGATATACCGACTATCATTATCCCCATTTTAGAGATAAAGAAACTGAGGCAAAAGAACTTAACTTGCCCAAAGTCATCCAGCTAGTGTAAGGCAGAACTGAAAAATCCAGGTAATCTGTCTCCAGAGTTCATGCTTTCACCTCTCCATCCTGCCTGTCTACTTCTCTAAGCATCAGTTACCTCATCCATATAATAAGATTTATTTTAAGAATTCAGTGGAATACTGCTATATGAAAAGCACTTGCAAAACAAACTGTTAGATAAACTGAACCTGTTGTTACACATATGCAGTCATGCATTCTATGTAAACCTCTAAAGAACATTACAGGGAGGTATAAATACTTCCATTCTATAAATGGAGACATAGACTCAAAGAAGGTTAACCCACGATCATCCAGGTAGCAGGCGGTAGAATATGTATCCAAACCCAATGCTGCCTGACTCCAAGGCCCACGCCTTTCCACTTCCCCAACCGGGACGGAAACCTATCCCTCGGACGTGGCACAGGTGGCATCCGTAGCTGCAGGGCATACTGTGAGCAGGTCTGGGGTGAGGAAGTCTCCAGAAAAGTTCCCAGTGCTCAAGCCTGACCTAGAGGGGCCTCGTCACTGTGTAGCGCCCAACAGCCCAAGCACCTTGGCCCCGAAGCGACATTCGGAATTTGTCCTCAAACACCCCGGAACATCCATGTCCTTAAGAGATTCCCAACTCACCCACAACTATGTGCAACTGAAAGCTACTTTCAAATAGCGGCCGTCACTGAGGGCAACCAGCACACAGCACCACAGTGGGCGATGCCTGAGGCGGGCCAGGCACCTGCCTGCAAGCCCTGAACTCTCTCTAGGTCCCGGTGAGACCTGCCACCCGTCGCTTTCTCTCTTGGTGTCTCCTTTCTTTATGTGCCAAATAGGGAGAACAAGCCCCTTACATGACCCTCCTCCCGGGGTCTGGTGAGGGTCAAAGATCACATGACAGCTGTGGAGGAACAGTGAAAGCGACATAAAAGGCCGTTGCTGTACCTGGGAGGTGTTATCAAAATAGCCTGTTCCAAGGAGATCGCATGACGACGTTATTTTTATTTGTGCTTGCTTTTGCCTAAAACCAGTATTGCTGCTAAAGAAAATACAGCTTAGATCAATTTTCACATCGGAATCAAAGTGCATTTTTCTCTCTACTTAACCTCCTGTAATTACGTGAAATGAATGGGACAATTTCATCTTCCTAGAAACGTTAAATAGTCAATGGTTCTAGACAATGAGAACGAAGCTGGGTCTCCCTGCTGAGAGAGGAGCTAAAAGCTCTTGTGTTTGACATGAAACGTGTTGAGATTCCACGAACAGCCTCCTGGTACCTAAGATTGCTTTCAGAGCGCAGTCCTTCCCAAAGGAACTCCCATGTGCAAAGGAGAGAGGCCGCCTGCAGGAATTCCAGACCAATCCAATTATCTCCCAGCCTCCTACCCTGACACCTTCTGGATCCCCAGACTGCATGCTCCGTGGGAACCTCACACTCAGCAACATCCAAAACTGAACTCCCCATGTCCTCCCACGTTCTCAATGCCAATGAACGGCAAAGCCACAAGTTAACCTAGTTTGCTCCTTCCCACTCGATGTCTACTAGTAACAGGGTCCCTTTCTAAGAGATTCTTACTGACGTGCCCTCTAACAGCCACCTGGCATGTGTACTTCAGTATTCCCACTACAACCTGATAAGGAAAACATTATTTCACCAATGAGGAAACTGAAGCGACTAAGCTAAAGGGCGAGCTAGAATTTGATCCTAAGGGAGGCTACCTTCAAAGCTCTTGCTCCGCGCTCCTCTATCAGAATGCTCTTTAGTGACCAAATTCTCAATTTTCTTTGACTTTAAGTGTCTCTCCTGCCCGGGTTCAAGTATCACCACCTGTGGCTAGGATTGCTCCAAGAGTCTGTCCTACTGCCCACCTTTGGACCGCCCCTGACCTTGCCCATCCCTCACCCCTACTGCTACCAAAATGACCTTTGCAAATTCAAAGATAGTCATGCCGCTTCCCTACTTAACACCCTCATGAGTTTCGAATAAATGCTCCACTTCTCCAGCGCCCCTGATCATACCTCTGCCCAGCTCTCTCGAGTCCTTCTCCACCGTTGCCCACACAGACCCCCTGCTCCACAGATGCTGTTGGCAATTCCCCAGGTGCATCACGTTAGTTCCTATTTCTCTGTCTTCTAATAGGTCCTCCCACCACTGAAATGGCCTTCACATCCCTTCTTCCTCTATTCAACTGCTACCAGTCCTTCAAAATCTCAGCCTGGATGTTCACCTTCTCCAAGAAACCCCTCCTTCTCTGAAACCCACTTTCTTTCATTTGTTTATTCGTTCATTCAAGGAATAGTAATTGAGTGCCTCCTGTGGTCTAGGCATCATGCCAGGCACGGGACGGCAGTGACGAACCAAACAGGCACTGTCCCTGCCTTCCTGGGGATTCCAGTCCAGTGGGAGGGAGACACAAATCTAATAATGACACGAGCAAAGGACTAAGCATGCACGGAGGTGTGGGAGGTGTGCACTATGAATGAGCAGGAGAGGATGCCTGACGCCGTGCACAAAGAGTGGGAGGAGGGGAGAAACATCTCTTGAGGGACAAAGAATACTTCCCTAAAAAGTGGCATCTGCATTTCAATTGGCAAGGAGTGGGGGACAGGGCACAGCATCATAGGGGGAGGGAACAGCATCTGCGGAAGCTGTGACTAAGTCTGACCTTACAGGTTCCAGTAACTAGAGGGACCAGTGATTTACTCCTAGGTCCCCTCGCTAGTCCACCAGCAAGGAGACAGGGACTTGCCCATAGCTTTTAGTAAGTGAATAAACATGGTCCATCCTTGAAGGCCACGTTTTGTGGTATAATCTGTCTGAGGGCAGAATCCCGCACGCACATACCTTGGCCTGAAGAATGTTTGTTGCCACATCTATCACTGCAAGGCCCGTCGCTCCAGCCGCTGCTGTCACTAAAACGGTCTCTCTGTGTCGCAAAGAGAGAAATGAACGTTGCTTCAGAAACCAGAAGTCATCCAGCAATGTGATCTCATGAACAGTGACACCAGGACATTTTAAAGCAAGAAGAGAACTCAGAGACTGTTTCCTCAAACGCCTTATGGACATCCATTCTCCCAGCTTCAGGTGGCTACGCTGGGGCTAACTGGGTCCATTTTGAGAACTTCCCAGGAAAAAATATTCCTTAATATTTCTAGGTAGCCTCTTCCTTCGAGCTACCACTCAATTTCTGCTTCAGAAGCTCTGTCCTAAATCATCCTCACACTCAACACTGCCCGATTTTAGAGGGTGGCAATCACGTAACGGCCACTGCTCAACGAAACCCATCTCTCTGGGCGATTCTGGGGCTCTCTGGAAACAGCAGGAGGCAACAGATAGGCCCACCCCAGGTGACGTGGGGAACTTCAGCACCTCTGAGTTTAAAATACCCCAGTTAGGTCCACCCAAGCAAGCCGCACAGAAACAAAGACCACAGGCCTTCCTTAAAATCCGGGGGAAGCGAGTTTAAGTAAGTCAGCTTTTTACCCGTCAAGGTTTTCTTGGAGGAGCTATCGAGAATGGTCAGGTTTCAGAAGGATATTTCTCCAAATTCATACTGGCCACATTCACAATCAACCATTCTCTCACAGACTCAAGGATAGCCTCACTGTCACCAGACCCCAGTCTCAGGCCACTACTCCCTTTGGCCCTTCCTTAGACTGAACATGAGCCGAAGGTCAGGCAAGGGAAAGGAAGGGGCAAGGCCTTGGCACTTCCGATATCAGAGAAGCGTCCTATCTACACAGTCCTTACCCAGGTTGGGTACGTGCCCGATGCTCCAGGGCCATGATAGCAGTGCCGTAAGATACAGGCAGGACAGCAGCTTCTTGGAGGGGAACCCCTTCTGGAATCTTCCAGAGTAACTATAAAGAGATATCAGTGACTAAGGGATTGAGCACATGCACCTGTTCATAAAGGCTGCTCAGTGAATATTATGATTTGATTGAATGATGGGCTTGCAAAGGGAAACACAGGTCAGGACCCACGCCTAGTAGAAGTTAAGACCCAGCAACCTGTGGCCGAGTTCAAGACTTGGCTGAGTCAGTCTTCAGAAATCCTAAGGTTGCACCTGCTCAGGAAGGAACCAACGAACTTAGGGAGAATGGAACACTGGCCACTGTATTATATAATGGGTGAACTAGATGTTATGTAAATTTTACTGCAATAAAACTGCGGGGGGGGGGGGGGGAATATATGTACTGTTATCCACTAGGGGGCGCCGGTCACATCCTGCACAAAAAGACCTGGGCTCCATTCCCAGGCCTCTCTCACAAGTTTCATGTGTGGGAGAGAAACCCATGACATCCAGCTCAATGCCTCAAACCAGTTTCTCTACCCAAACTACCTAGCTGTGATCCAACTGGACAGCCAGCCAGTTGCTCCAGGACTCAGAAAACACAATGTTTCTTCATTAAACCAATCCACACAAAGTTCTGTGCAAAGGTTGTTACCCCGATATAGAAAAGGGGCTTAGCATTTGAAAGAAAGAAGTGGTTGGCTGAGGAACAAGATATGACCAAATGAAAACAAAGAAAAAGGGGCGAGGGGGCGGGCTGGAGAATGAGGAATGAGGGATGGGTGGAAATTAAAGAAATATTGGAAGGTAGGGATACCTTCTGGTCAGTGACACATTCTTCAGCCATACTACTAAAGGCACTCACGCCGATTACTCGATCTCCCTGAAGGGAAAATAGTATTAAGGGTAGGTTCCAATGCATCTCTGTTTCTGATTTCATTAAGACCCATCCCCCACCCCCAGGTTTGCCCCAGTGATCTATTGAGAGCTGCTTTTCAGTAAATAACGCAATCTTTTTCTCTATACCCCCACTAGGCTGCCAAGCCAATCTGAGCACAGTTTGGACAATAATATGGGTATCAATTAGAAAATCAATTCAGATGTGAATTAGAATCCCAGTGTTAACTGCTTTCACAAGAGGCTGAAACTTGGGAATTTTCTATCCTCTTAGCAACTAAAGACCTCTTAGCAACTAAAGAGGTGCTGCCTTTTATTCGTAATGAAAGTTAAATGAAGCCAGGCACTTCTACTGCCTTCCTTCCCCCAGTTCAGAATCTGTCTCTTCCCCCTCCCTCTCAGTTTCCCGTTGGTGTCTGCCGGCAAAGGCCAGGAGGCACCAAGACCCTTTGGCCTCAAATGATCTAGCACATTTCTCACAGCTACACACACGTGGACCCCTGGCCTTCACGTTTACCTCTTTAACTGTGCTGACATCTGCGCCTGTCTCCAATACTGTCCCAGAAAACTCCATTCCTGAAACAAATTGTTTCAAGGTTAGGTTGTCTGTGAAGCCCAGCACTGCGGAGGTGAGGAAATCCAGATCCACCGGCCATCCTACCAGTTTTCTGAAACCGCAATGATTAAGTGCCTCCCATCCACCTAGGGAGGAGGGGTAAGGGTATGTACTCAGCCCTGGCTGGTGTGGCTCAGTGGATTGAGTGCCAGCCTACAAACCAAAAGGTCGCCAGTTTGGTTCCCAGTGTAGAGCACATGCCTAGCTTGCAGGCCAGGTCCCCAGTAGGAGGCTGCAAGCTACGCATGTGCAGGAGATGCGACCGTGTGTTGATGCTTCTCTCCCTTTCTCCCTTCCTTCCCCTCTCTAAAAGATAAATCAATAAAATCTTTTTAAAAAATTAAAAAAGAAAAGAATTCGTACCCAATGCTCAGGAAAGTGACCTTAAGATTTCCATGATCACGACCTGAAAAGCTAGAGCAGCCCCATTCTTACCATGACACGAATGGGATTTTAAGAATGGGCAACAGCACAGAGGACCACAGGTGTACAAGCACTGCTGCCCCGAGCACCGGGGGCTGGGCTCCCAGAGCGCCCCAGGTGCCATGCTCATCATCCTGTGTTTATCTGTGGCCACGTCCTCTCTTCCGGACTGTGAGTTCCTCAGGACGTGAGCTGTATTTATTTATCCAGTAATTGGCTCAAATGGATGAACTGGAGTTGTCTGCCCTTTCCTCTTCCGCCTCCAAAAGTTCTGAATTTAATGATCGTGCACTCCCACTTGAGCTGCCAGAGGAATAACTCAATTGAGTATGACATCTTCCCCTACCCAGCATTTCAGCAAAACAAACAGGGAAATGCTTCTGACTGTTGAGACACAACCAAACGGCCTAAGGCCAAAACACAGCAACAGTATTATATCCTTAATAATACATATCTGTATAGAATGTACATGTTCCATATACATGCTGAGCTATAAGTACACCTGATGAAATAAATTTCAACAGCAAAAATCAGTTATTTGTCCACATATTAGGATCTAAATGTAATCAGACTGGGCATAATGAAGGTCAGACAGTGGGCTGCTAAAAACATAAAAACTCTTTTTCTTCTTTCTGATCCTTAGATATTAGGTTTCTTTGGGAATGTGCTTGTGAAGACTAAGAGTTTCAGCTGCAGACAGATGGTTGTGATCCTTAAGGGCAAAAAGAAAATTGAGGCAATGTCAAGGAATAAAAGGAAGTAACTAGAACGCATAATGACTGGGATCACAACTCTGATGAACGTAATGATATGTGAACATTCACTTGTTCATCTATTCTTTTGTAAAGTATTTATTGAGCATCTACTATAAGCCAGTTACAATACTAACCTGGGGGATAGCATGAGGGTAAGGCAGTCATAGAAATGTTCTTCCCGGGCCACACAATCAGTGCTCCTCCCTAGTGGTGCGGCCGGAGCGTCCGCGATGTCCCTGACCGTGGGCAAGCGCCGCCAGGGTAGAGTCTGAGGTGAAGCCCATGGTTCTGGACATTGTGCTGCCTTCTCCCGCAGCTGCCACTTGGCCCCCCTCATACTCACCAGGTGTGAAAGGAACGTGGAGCCTTTCCTGGTACTGACCACGGCAAACCAAAATATCAGCAAAGTTCACTCCACAGAAATGGACATCCACTCTGACCTGTAAACGAAATAAACCAGAGCGGTACATGTCCATGGAGACAATTCAATTATACCAGAATATTTACTGAGTACCTACTATACTGAGCTAAGGTACTGAACTAAGTCCCAGGGTACAAGCATGAGGCAAAATGGACAAGTTTCCTGCCCTTGTGGAGCAAAAAGTATGGTCAAGAAACAGATATTAACCAAATAATTGTGAGGATTTATGTGTTAAATTACAACTCCTACACGAGATGTTAAAAATAAAAATAGAAATGCCATGAAAGCATATAATGGAGGGACTTGACCTTTTGGGGAATCAGGTGGAATCTTTGAGAAAGTAACACTTGAACCAAGAACAGCTGAGAGTTAACTAATCAGAACAGGGGGAGAAGCGCGGCATTGCCAAAGGCAATGGCATGTGCAAAGGCCCTGCGGGGGACAAAAGAAAAACCAGCAAACCTAGAGCACAAATTGGAGAAACAGATGGGGTTAGAGAGAAGGGCCCACACCATCCTAGGGTCTGTGGGCTTTATCGAGCAACTTAGTCTTCGTAGCAGGAGTAATGGGAAGCCACGGAAGGATTTTTAAGCAGGAGAGTAACATGATCGGCTGTCTTGGGAATGAGAAATCATCCTGGAGGCCAGTCCTGGATCGCCAGCTTCTGTTTTGTGACAACGCTAAAGCAGAGGCAGGCCTGCAGCAGCCTAGCCAGCAGTTTCTCCAGACGTTGCCAGCCAGTCCTTCTCACTGCGGTCCCAGACCACCAGCATTGGTATCACCTGGGGACTTGTTAAAATTTCAGATTCTCAGCCACCCTGCCCCCCACTACGAAGTCAGAGACTCTGGGGACAATGCCCAGCAAACTGCTCTAACAAGCCCCAGGTGACTGTGAGGCAGGCTAAAGTTAAGAGCCTTACTGCCATAGGCCAACCCATCTGGACAGGGCTGGGAGCCACAGGAAAGGAAGGCTGAGAGACAGGATAGGTAACATTCGTTTATTTGTTTCGATTGCCATTGCAGCACAGAGGGAGCCATATTGGGGAGACTTTTTTTTAATTGACAAATTACATTCATTCAACAATGTTTTAAGCATGCCAGGCACGATTCCAGACTATGGGGATTTATTTAATGGTGGGTAAACTCACATAGTCCCAGCCCTCATGAGCTAATCCCTTACAAGGCAGTGTCTGGGCAAATAACAGAAAAAAGGAGTCCAGCCTTCAGCCTGCGCACATTGCATACATAACACGTTAGTTGTTAACGTGTGCAGCAACACGCAGGATCTCAAGGCACTCCACCTTAGTTCAAGGATGATTGAAGGTTGAGCATCTCTGAGCACCTGGGCCCCAGGAAGCCAAATGGCTGCCATCACGTAGTCACATAAATAATCCATTTAGCCACAGGGTCCCTGTTGGTGGCATTTCACATTGCCCTCTCTCACCAGTGGTCCCCTAGACTGAGGCTAACTGCCTGCTGCACCTTGTCAGAGGTTCTCGTTGGCCATGCCAGCTGACCTGTGTCACCAGCATGCTTAACGGCAGAAGACCAAAGTGACTTCCACATTTCACTGGAAGTGTCCGCATCCCTAAATCCCAAATTACTGCAGGAGAGCGTAGGAGAGCACAAGGCACGTATGCCAACGGAAACACAGGCCCTCGCTGGGCTGGTTCGGGCTGCTTTGGAGGAGGAGGGGAGGAGGATAATTAGGTGCTGACACCTGGGGAAGCAAAGGCAAAGGATAAGGTCCACTAATCCGTGTTACAGCAATAACTTGCAGATGATTATGCAAAATTCTGTGCAAATCAGAATTCTCTGTTTCTAAGGCAACAGCTCTGGGGCCTTCAGAAAGAGGCCTCCATTTGTGGTGTTGGAGAACAATCTTTCTTTAGCCCTTTTGACTTTTTCGTGAACCCTGAAGGGGCCCATGTAGCCCACAACGAAGTTGTGCTCTGGAGTCCCGTTCGCCCCCTAGCTGAGCGCTTGGGAACTCCATCCAGGGTGGAACCTATGGTGGGTGTGCAGCGGTCGAGGGGAAAGTGAAAGGGTGTCAAGAGGTCCCGGGGATAGGCCAGTCGCTCTACCTCGTGGGGCAGGACAGGGCGAGGGACGACCTCCTCCATGACCAGGGGTTGCTTCAATGCGGCGCACCGCGCAGCGCGGTAGTGGCGGCTGCCGCCCGACCAGACGCTCCTGCAACACGAGGCGGAGACTGGGTTACTTGGGGCAACTCACGCGGCTGCGCTTTCGGGCTCAGGAAGAGTCAGGATCGCACCTGCAGAGCCCCATCCGAGAGACACACCGTGCCCAAAAAGCCGCGGCCATGACCTCGCGCAGTGAGGCACGAGAGAGGCGGGGTCCCAGCGGCGCAGGAAGAGCCCACTGCGCCAGCCCCGCCCCTGCCGTGCCCCGCAGAGCGGAAGAGGGACTGGCCGCTCCTCCAGGGGCAAAACGCGACCCAGGCTGGAGGCTGCCGCAGCCGGGATTGCGCCCAGGGCCAGCCCACCCGCAGGGTGCGCCAGACAGACTCCGGGGTGCCCGTCCCTTTGTCCCCCAGGTTGGACGTGGAGCCCGCTGGAAGGAAAGAAAACGTGTAAAAGAAAATCGACTACCCGAGATTACCCATTTGTTGGCATTTTTGTAGCAAGTTTGGGACACTTTTAAAACCACACTTGGCGGTTGAATAGTGGTTCTTGGGTCCTGTGCATGTGTGAAATCCTAAGTACATGGGTAAAAGTTTTAAAGTCTGCATTCGGCATCTAATTAAACTCTTGTTACCAAATTTTTGCACTTACAAGACCATTTACGTTAAAACTATGCAGTTACTAGTAACCCAAGGTGGAATGCTCCTACACATATCCAAATATTTCCAATTAAAGTCATAATATTTCCAATGAAAGCCCTAGGTGTTTTCATAGTTCCCAAGCCTGTCCATGCCTGGCACATGTGGATGCCGAATAATAGTTGATTCAGTGAAAACAATTCCTAGGTGAAGAGGTACACTCTGGAAAATCTGAAAACATAACAATATAATCCATGAAATATTATAAAACTGGGTGGATCACTGTTACAGCAGTAACCAGATTGTGGTAGTTAACTAGACAGGCATGAGCAAGGACGATGGGCCAGGCACAGAAGGTCACCAGCGGAGAGCCCTGGGCAAAACCCCCAAGGTTAACCTTTCCTCCCCTAGTATATTGGGGGGCAGGCGGCTTCAGCCCTTCCCTGACCTTTCCTCCCCTGACATGTGTCACTAGTCACGCAGCAGACCGCTTGGAGGAGGAACAAGGCGCTGCAGAGTGGCCTCGTGTGACTCCCATGCGGGCCCTTGCACGGCCACTTCCTTAAGCACTAGCCCTAGAGATAACATCTAGGACTCAGTTGTGTCTCAGCTCCAGGCCCAGTAGTGCAGCAACACCAGACAAGGGACGCCATGGTGGACACCAGGACCAGCAGCTCTGATTAATGACCACTTGCCCTGGTGCCAACCAATCAGTGGACGCCACAGCCCTGAAAGGTCACATCTGGAAAGCTGATGAATATGCTATTGGATCCTCCCCTGGGACCTCCCCTAAAATCCCCACTCTTAAAGCCTTTAGGACAGAAGGCTCAGAGCACCCTCCCGCCCCCCTCTGCTCCCCTTTTCCACCCCCTCGTTCCCCCCAAGAGCATTACCTTTATCTTTCTCTTTCTCCTAAGCTCCGAAGGCCCTTCTTTGGCCTCTGTAACTCGTTCCTGAGCCCGTTTCTTCTAGAGCTCACTTCTTCTATCTCTGTGACTGTCTAAATAAACTTTCTCTTATAGTTTGAATCTTGACTCTGAATTCTTTCTTTGCCAGAACTCGAGTGCCCGGGTTGCTGAACTGAGGTTTGGTCTGACTCCACTTGTCTAAAGTCCTTGCCATTTTTGTTGTGTCACCAACAAAATATTTAGATACTGGCAATATGAGAGAAGTACATGTTATCCTGGGAAGTATGTTTCATTTGACAGGTACTTTTAAAGGCAGCATGATATCTTTCAAAGACATCTGGTCAGAGGATAACCTCTCAGGTTCAAGCCCAGGTCTACCACCTATTGGTGTGACTTTGGCATTGACACTTGATGACTGTGTGCCCCAGTTTCCTCCTCCATAAAGTGAAAGCAAAGTGCTGGGCAGGATAATCCCCAAGTTGCTAAAGACCATTTCTATTTTTTGATGGAAACAATAGTGCAAGATAGCAAATGACCTGGAAAAGAGAAAAATAGAGAATAAATATGAAGGAGACGTGAACTTCTGAGATTGCAGCCCACAGGCTTTGGTGGGAAAGAAATCCAAGAACCAGGTCCCCTCTGTTACCTTAAGATCACTCACAGGGAATTTGAAAAGTCATTTTAGTCCCTGTTCTTCTCAGGAGGAATTCACGCCTATGAGGAACAAGGACTAGAAGGTGAGAAGATTAAAAAACAATTATTTTCAATAAGACCCTTTGTAAAGTCTTAGTCATTAGATACATAAAATCAAACCAGCGATGATGGGGAAATACTAACATTATCATCATCAAAATGAGCATTCTGGTTGCAAATAACAGTGAGCAATAAGAAATCTCAAGTTTATGAAACCAGGATTGATTGTACTGAGGATAAAATGAGCTGTTACATGCGGAAAATATTTTGTAAATTATTAGGTGTTTATACAAGCTATAAAGCAAGCAATTTTTAACAGAGCTCCTTGAAAGCAGCAACCATTTCTTAATTTCCCTATGTTTGCGGTGCTTTGCACAATGCAACACTTTCAGGAATTTAATGCATGCCTCTTTAATGAATTGTCGAATGAGCACTTGGTTATCTTCCAAATAACTGGAAGTATTTTTAAGCATCAAGTCTTTTATTTTTGATTAAGTATTTTTATGTAAATTTTTTCTATTGTGGTCTTCATAATGTCCTTGTCATTCTCAGGGAATATGAGAATCCGTGAGTTTGGAGAACTCTATCAATACTGCATTCTACATTTATAACAATGTCTGAAGAAAATAGAAAAGTCCCTTTAAGAAGAATCTTAGAGGGAGATGAAAGTATCTCAGGTAATTGAGGTGATTTTAAACACTTAACAGTATGTGCAAAATAGCTTTCACATTTCCAAAGAGCTTCAAAGGCAAGCGACAGGCATATCATAATAGTTGCTATAGTAGCAAAAGAAATATTTAGCCTTTCCCTCAAAGTGCTTCCACCACACCACACTGTCTAGTTTTGTTATCATTTCTGGTAATTTTGTTTTATTGGGAGCAAAGGTGGAAAAGTGGGCAGAAAGAATAAAATGTGAGTCCTGAAGAAGAATAAGACCGAGCAGCTAAATCTGAACTGATCAGTCTTCTGCGAAGAAAGAGAAAGAATCAATAACTGCTCTGCAAACCAGTTGGAGGGCTCATTAGGAAGTAAAAGAATGACAGATGACTCTTCCTTCTGGTACAACTCACAAGAAGAGATAATATTTAACGTCGAGAAACTGCTGGAGGGCTGAGGGCGGAGCAACTACCCAGAACTGAATGCACAAATAGCTATGTTTTCACAGAATAATAGACAAACAGTATAGGAACAAGGTAAGCACCTTACAGAAATAAGCAGAAAATATAAAAGAATTTCCCACAATTAAAAGGCTTTCTCCAATCATTCGTCAGCAACCTGGGGACAGACTGTGCCTTGGTGGCCCAGTTTACCCCCCACCTGACATAGCAGGTACTCAGTACATCAGGAAGGTAGGAAGCAAGGGGCCTTGTGAGCTGTGTGGGACAGTTGCTGGCACATTATTATCCAAAGCCATATCCAAAAATATTTAAGAGGCCTTGCCCCCACTTTCCTGCTGGGCAGAACCTGATTTTTTTTCTGGCTAGTTCAGTACAGTAGTCCCCCTTTCTTGGTGGGAAATATGTTCTAAGGCCCCCAGTGGATGCCTGAAACCACAGGTAGCACCGAACCCTATGTTTTCCTATACGTTCACACATTTCCACTTAAAGGAAGCACCTTACGGCTCCTCTCTGGCCTATCCAAATTGCCAGCACCACTACTCTTGCGCTTTGGGCCATTATTACGTAAAATAAGGGTTACTTGAACACAACCACTGCAATACCACACAGTGAATTTGATAACCAAGGTGGCTACTAAGTGGCTGATGGGGGAGGGGAGGCCACCAGCGTGGAGATGCTGGACAAGGGCGTGATTCGCGTATGGGCGGAACACCGCAAGGCAGCATGAGATTCCATTCCACTGCTCAGAGCCGTGCAATTTAAAACTCGTAAAGTGTTTACTTCTGGAATTTTTTACTTAACATTTTTGAGCTGCAGTTGACCGCAGGTAACTAAAACCACAGAAAGAGAAACCACAGGTAAGGGGGAACCACTGCATTGCTATTATCTTTATGTTACTATCTTCTGCCATCATCCAAGATTTCTGAAGTGTGTGCGAGTAGTTTGCCTTTCCATTGAATTCCCCCAAATTGTTCATTCTGATTGTTGCAGTTGGGGTTAAATTTTAGCAACCTCCGAGTGCTTTGGCCATTGACATATTGTATATGCAGTACGCATTGACCTACTCTATTCCAAGCAGCATGTAAGACTTGCTGCATAACTTATTTCCTCTAACATAGAATCAAATCATAGAATTTCAGAGCTGGGGTGGAGCTTCAAGATAACCTAATCAAAGTGCAATTGAAAAAATTTTAAAATAAAAATGAAAATTGAACTTATTGGAACAACATCCCCCTACACCAGAAGATAATCTAATCAAATTGCTTCATTTACAAGTAGAAAGTGGAAGCTCATGGAGAACCTGGCCCAAGGTCACACTGAGCTTAGTGGCAGGAATGTCATTAAGGATCCAGCTTTCCTGATTTCCTGTTCACATCTCTTTCTACCAAGCTCTTTGGATTTCTCTCAGCAGTATGCACAATAATAATAATATTTCACACTTTTATAGCACTTCAAAGCTTTCAAATTACTGTCTCCTAGATTGCTTCACTCTGCCAAAGATGAGAGTAATAATAATTATTATTGCAACCAGCACTTGCTAGCAACTTACAGCAAATTAGTCACTACATGTTTTTGCATTATTTGATTAGTCCTCACAATAATTCTCTTGCTAGGATACTATTATCTTCACACTTTTATAGATCAGGAAGGTAGGATGGACGGAGGGTGAATAACTTGCCCAAGGCCACACAGCTAGGAAATGGAGCTGTGCAGAAGTTTCCTCATTGCCTGTTCCCAGAGTCCCAAAGAGGACGGTATCCGGCCGCCCCCTGTGCCTTCCTCACACACAGCCTCCGGAGCAGACAAAGAAGGTATTGTACCATCCATTTCAAAGC